TAATTCAATAATTTTTAATTTTAATAAAATGTAATTTACCAATCGAATAAATATTATCAAAAATATTTATTATATTTCTGTATGTTTTAACACTGACAAACTCTTAACTCTGATAAACAACAGCATCCCCCCCCCTTTTCCCCTTTCAAGATTCATGGATTCTCCACTGAAATCTGCGTCGCCGTGGGAAACAGTAATAAGAAAGTCTGCTTTCAAGTCGCTGATTAAGGAGATAATCATTGTGTTGCAGGTTTGAATCTATCTGAAGGACGTGGAGACCGGTCCTCCAATGAGACCGTATAAACCGGGGTCCCTTGTCGCTGGCATGAAAAAGATCCCTCACTGTGCAGGGGACCAGGGCCCCCTTTTCTTTACAATATAAGCATAAGATTTAATAATTCAATAATTTTAGTGTGGTTGTGGGCTCATTAATTCTGACAAACAACCGCTCCACCCCTCCCTGTCGCTGTTGGTGCTGGCACGAAAAAGGTCCTTCACTGTTCAGTGACCCAGAGTGTCGAGCAGCTTTCCAACGGCAATTGTTAGTGTTCCCATGAGTGAAAAATTGGAGCGAGGAACTTATTGCAGCATTTAAACACGTTTGGTTTTCGTTTCTTACAGGACCACATTTAACGATAGATGCCTGTCTCCAGTAGGTAATACCCCCCCCCCCACACGTGCATTCTCCATTCACAATACACAGTACCTAACTGCATTAACCGAAATACAAATAAATATATAAAAGGAAAATATATCAAGCACTATACCTCAACTCCTTTTATTTTTCATTAAAATCAATCCACGCTAGTCTATAATTTATCCATAATTTATATTGATAAATTGTTTATATTTACTGACATTTCCATTTTCCAGCATTCGGATTTATATATAATAACCCCATTGTAAATTACAGATGAAATAAGAAATAAATTACCAACCGAATATGTATTATATATTATTAAAGAATATTTATTTTATTTGTGTTTATTTTAATGCATGTGGAATATTCCATGTACGAGTGAATAGGTCTCTAGTGATGACGTATTACGCATCTTATGAACGATAACTCATTATATGAACGATAACTCATGTTCGACTTCTTTTACGTCATATCTTCTAGTCATTACCTAATTTAAAAACGATCGATTGTCTTAATCATTGAGAAGCTTAACTTGCATTTAATTATGATGTGTTTTTAAATTTTACTGCACTTTCAAGGAACGTACATGTATTCATCTATTTTTTTAATCCTTTTCCCGGAAAGGGACGTGTGTTTAATTTGGTCAATATTATACCTGCATGTTTTAATTCATGCACTTTTCTGATATTTAAATATAAAATAAAATTTATATAGATACTTAATAATAGTTTTTAACGATCTTACAAAGAATCCATTGCAGATGGACTTATGAGATTCCCTCTTTTTTGTTCATTTATCTCAAAATACTTAAATGTGGGAACAGCGGTACATGTATAGAAGCGGTACTACAAATGTTTTAGCGAGTAAGTCCCACCTTAAAAAATTAAGACCCATCGAATGAAAGGCTTCATATTTTGAGTCCGAAGTTTATTTGATATAATACAATACAGCCACGTAGCAGCGTTTTTGAAAGTGGGGGGGGGGGGAGTCTGAGAAAAAAACCTTACCTGAAAAGTTGACAAGCAAAAAAAAAAAAAGGGACACAGGAAAAGTTGCCCAAAGTTGACAGTCCTATTTCTTTGGGGGGGACTTACTTTCTCAATGCCAATTTTTACCAATTGCCGAATAAAACCTTAAGGAGTGGATCTCATCTTTTCAAAGAAGCGTTAACTGACCACTGGCACCCCAGTGTTACCAATTTAACACCACCAGCAAAAGTTGGTCTGGTAGAACCAGATGGTGTTTATTTATGACAAATCTTATGAGTGTGTCAGGGATGGGAGTGAAAGGATGTTTGATAAGAAGTAACTGACCCTTTGAATTTACTAGTGGGCTCTCAGATAATATACTTTCAGAATGGCAGACTTTAGGCCTATAATATATACCGGTATAGAACCATTATTTCCGAATATTTACAATCAACATACCCGACTTTAATTGCACATGTCTAGTTGCAACGTGTGTATGTCATGGTCCAAAGAGCTATTTATGTATTAAAAAGGGATGAATCCTCCTGAATAGACAAATTGTATATCTCTCTTTACAAGATAATTTGTGCAAACATCTAATTTATCCAAACAAATATCTATTCCGTCCGAACAAATAACTAATTTGTCCGAACAAATTTCTAATTCGTCCGAACGAATATTTTTTTCGTCCGAACAAATAACTAATTCGTCCGAACAAATATCTAATTCGTCCGAACGAATAACTTATTTGTCCGAACAAATTTCTAATTCGTCCGAACGAATTTCTAATTCATCCGAACAAATAACTAATTTGTCCGAACGAATTTCTAATTTGTCCGCAAATATCTTATTCTAAACAAACAACTAATTCGTCCGAACAAATTTCTAATTTGTCTGAACAAATATCTAATTTGTCCGAACAAATAACTTATTTGTCCGAACAAATAACTTATTTGTCCGAACAAATTTCCGAACGAATATCTAATTCGTCCGAACAAATAACTAATTCGTCCGAACGAATTTCTAATTTGTCCGAACAAATAAAAATATTTTTTTACCTGGCCCTCCAGCGGCGCCGTAGAAACTAAATGGTCAAAAGAATTCAATATAATGAATGGTCAATGGAAAAATATCTATACAGCTAAGATACTTAATATTTTTAATAAACAGATAGCAGAATTCAGTTTTAAACTTTTACACAACCAACTGAATTGTTATTATCATGTTAGTAAATGGATTAAAGAGGTGGCAAAAAACTTGTACAGTTTTGCGGACACAGTAGAATATATTAAACACTTAATTTTTGAATGTACAGACTAAAAATAAAAATTTCTGTGAAATTATATCTCACAGTATTGAATTTTAATATAACTTGGCACACACATATTGTTCTGTAAGATTTGATAATGAGTTTGCCGTTGTAACACAGCTATGATTTTTAATAATGTCATATAATTGTGGGACACAAAATATATAAATATAAAATATCGGTTTTTGCAAAACGAAATAGTAAATGCAAATGCAATGTTAATTTTTTTGAAATACTACTCCTCTTTGTATTTCAGTACACATGTAATAGCAAAGAGTGCAAAAAGTGTTAAATCTAATTACTATCTTTTAAAAAAGCTAGCTGACGAACTATAATTTTTATTTTTCTATATGCGTTGTAATTAAATTGATATTTTATCTATATATGTATTTAATATGAAATGTTTTTCAATGAAATATTTGTCTTTTTGTGAAAATGAAATATTAGTAATGATAAATAACCATGTTTTTCTCTATTGTGTAAACTTTTGTAAATTGAATATTGAAAAATATACCGATCCAGGGAGCTCCTGGCACCCCAGGTGAGGTATTAACCGAGGGCTTCTGAGGAAGTTTTGCCTCAAAATTTTTTGTATGTTATTGGAAATAAATGTTTAAAAAAAAAATCCGTTGCAAGGATTTCATGCAAAAATAATCTAAATGTTAAAAAAAAAATACAGTTTGGTGATCTTGAAAGCTGTAGCATATTTAATAACATAGAAAGGACGATTTATTTTTAAAGAAATGTAGATATCAATAAAATTAACAACAGGTATAAAGTGATCGGGAAAATGAGGTTGTACAAGTTTCTCTTTCGACCAGAGGATGTGTATTTGTCATCTGAAGTATTTTAAAAATAAATATTTGCGTTTTTGTTTACCTACATTTTTGTGTCACATTTGATAAATCGGTGCACTTGTCAAAATAAAGGACGTTACTTAAATTTTTTCTTGATAAAGTCATTTAAATTTTTTGTTCAATTATGTCTTCATTTTTTTTTTAAAACTGCATTGACAAAAAAACAGTCACCAACCATATATCACTTCATAAATAAATGTTCATTATTATGAATTTCTAATAGAATTTTAACAAAAAATTCATCATCATAGTAATGTTTTTAACAATTTTAAGTTTATAATTTCATGAAACTTATTAAGTCTTTGAAATTAAATTGCAGGCATAAGAAAATTTATTTAGTGACTTTCAGCCGTTCCTTTTAAACAAATGAATAAGCTTGAATACGAAATGTCATATTTATGATAAAACTGAGCATGTTAAAAACAGGTGTAAAAACCTGTATTGTAAATATACAATGCACTTTAATGTAACGGTTTATTAAGAAGCATTTTATTATAATTATGAATGTTGAATGATGAATCGACTTTGAATGAAAAATCATCAATCAGACGGGATATAGAATGTTGACACAGACATTTGTGTTTCATGTTTTACACTCTTTTCTAGGACATATTTTCCTCATTACACAAGGTTTTTCAAATTAAGGTTAAAACAAAGGTTATCATAAGGTAAATCATGGTTCTCTTGAGAAAGCAAGAAAATTTTTGGAGTTGCTCTTTTAATATGCAACAAAGAAACAGTTGTAGGAGTCATAAAAATTATACTAGGTAAATGAAGAATTCATCATTATACACAAGGATTTGTTCTGAGAAATTTTGGTTGACTGAAATTTATCAGATAGAAATGAGATGTGTGTATATATAGACCTATATCTAATACTACAAACTCTTGGCTGTGAAATTACATAACTGGTAAGAAATATTTTAATAAAACCGTGTTTGTCAGTGAGTTTTCTTCTCTCATTTTCGGGAAAGTAATGTTAAGCTTGCAAGCAAAATTAATTTTTCTGCGAAAAACAGGTTGTTCTAAATAAGGAGTCGCGTGCGTTCTAGAGTATGATTTTGAAGCGTGTTCGTGGTGAGGAATTTGTTCAACTTTTATGCCTAGGTCTCATTTAATCATGCATTTTTTTTCAGCCAACTATCCGCTTGAATATGACCAAGGTATATCAATCTTCCATACTATGTATACCAAACAAGTACATATTGAAATGATCAAAGTTTTAATGAATTATAACATGAAAAAAAAAATCACAATATGATAATACAAGACAGTGTTGATGATTGTCAATAGTTGCATTCAAGTACATGTATATATAGTGATTTATAATTTACTCTGCAAGTAATACAAGGGAGTTTAAGCAAACCTGAACACCTCTGAATGTTGTAACAATATAAAAAGATATAACATAGATATACCTGCACTGAGTATTTCAATTAATGAAAATTTATACTGAGAGACAGTTGTAAAGACACCACTTTTTTGAACAGTATACATGCATATATTTTTTTCCTTATTAAACATACAAAAACTCTTAAAGAAAATTTGTTGCTATAAATATATTATAACTATTTCAGCTGAAAGACAGTTTTTAGAAGTGTATGATAGAAAATTAGCAATATATCAGTTTGTTAACCATAGATCCTTAAAGGACAAAAGTTCTCACTTGTTGTTTAAAACGAAGGGGAAAAAATACAAAAAAATGAAAATAGAAAAAATGGGAATGTAAAACAGACAGAATTAAGTGTGATTTGGTGATCTTAAACTCTTTTTGTTCTGTATTCATTTATAGCTCAAAGTCGACAATGTCATCGTTCAATTTTTTTTCTTTAAAAATAGACAGCCTCTATGTCTTGGTATGGACCACCTTCTGGTACCTGTCGCTCGTTAGAAAAATTGGATTCAAAGGAAAGATCAACAGAGTTGGAATTTCTTGTGGACTTTGGCCATGGAGATGAATTTGGCCAATTCCCTTCTTTCCCGTCTTTTGGAAAGTATTGTCCAGTTTCTGATACTTTTGATTTTGTGAAAACCGAGTCGTCGGGCTCGGGAAATGGATCTTTAAGAGTTGCCGGAGATATTCTAGAGACAATGGCCTGTGTTTTGAACTCATAACTATCATCACACTGTTGGTTATCAAAGAATTCTCCCATGTCCGTACATTCTGAGACAGACTCAACATAAGCACCATTAAAGCTACAAAGGCTTTCCCTGCTATTGTAACTTGCATTTAAAGCTTCTTCAAAACCGCGATCCGTATTTTCGTCGAATCTTGGTGAAGCAGATATACCCGTAGTCTCTAGTGAAGTTAAAAAGTGATTATTAAAAAATGCATATTCCACCGATTTCTCCCTATCAAACAAATTCGGGACACTGTCAGGTAAATCAGGATTTATCCAAGGCAAACGGGATTTATGGTGTATACCAGGGTTTTGGATTTGTCTTACATTTTTGGTGTTATTTGTTAAATATGAATAAGGTTTAGAAGATAAAAGTTCGCTTGTTGTAAATCCATCAAGCTCTGCATCAGAACTTTCACGTGTAATTGTTGCAAGTGACTTTGATTGTTTATGAATATTGAAGTTGCACTCAAAATGTTCTTCTGCACAGTTTGCCATACATCCGGAATCGTTCTCGTCCGATAATTGCTCTTTATCTTTCTGATGTGGATAAAACTGTTCTTGTCGTGTCAATGGTCTCCGTAATTTCTCGCCTTCGTAAAATACCTGTGGTCTTTCAATGAAAGTCACTGAGTGAATTTCAACAGGCTTATTCTGTATTTCTTCAGAGTCCATTGAAATATTCTGCAAAACGTTGTCGATGTCGCTTTCACAGTATTGGCCAGCCACTCCCTCGCTTTCGCTTCTCTCACTTGATTGTCGCGGAACCAAACGACCCCTCCCTTGGGTTTGGTGTGCAGAAGGTAAGGTAATATTAGAGGATTTAAAAATTGTTCCACTTGCTGATCTTGAATGACCATAGATGTAGACATTTCCACTTGAGGACCGTGAGTGCGTTTGATAGAGACTTGACGAACTTCCAGAATTACTTCGCAGTCCCATTTTAGGTGGCTTCTTTCTGGGAATACTACCAAATGAACCAGAGTAGACGCCTGTGGATTCTTCGTACAATCGAGGAAAGGAATTCGAACCGTATCTTTCAAGGTATATCCGTCCGTCAGTGATTGTAGTGGGGTTACTGTACGATTCAGGATGTCCCTTACATGGAATTCTGGGTAAGCTATCAGTATTTAAACAGTCTGGGTGATAATCACTAGACATGTAATACATAGAATTACTTGATTCAGATTTTTGGACTTTAACCATTTCGTTTTGTGTCTCGGTATTCATACGCTTTGGTGATGCACTCTTAAGCGTGTCATTAATAAATATAGATGGAAGATGTTTCTTTCTAGCTTGGTCGTTTCGTGAGCCCGAGGACCCAGATCTGACAAACTGACTCATATCTCTTGAATCCATTGACCCGCCATTACTATGTACATCAACGTTGACTTTGCTTGAATTACTAGCTCTAACTTTGCTTTGAATGTTAAACTCCGTTGAGGACTCTCCTGGGCGCCCCCTAGTGGACGAATTTCGGCTTGTTCTTTCAGATGGCGATAGATTGTTAGGAATGTGAACTTTGCGTGGCAATGTTTGAACATCTTTGATTTTTCTTGTAAAAGACTGCAATGTGCATGAGTCGGGATCTGAAATTCAAATTATATGTATTGATAAAATTACAAGTGACCTCGTTTAATCATTATTCAATTAAACACAAGAGCGATATTGACATTGTTATATAAAAAAGATTACAACACACCATGAAATGTAAAGATAAATAACATGAGATTAATTAGTCAAAACAGGACCTTTTATTTATTTTATATCCCCAGCAGATAGGAATGATGTTTGTGGGCAAATACTACAACAGCTGAGCAGATTGGTTATGTAAATTAATCATAAAGCAGCGCAAAGCAAACTACATATACTAACTAAGGGATCAACTTCTCTCAGTGTCCCATCACAATCAATAAATTAGCTTACCCATTCAACCATATTTCTGATAGCAGTTATGTAAAAGACACTTAATATAAATTAATGACTGGACATTGATGTAGAAGTAGAACATAAAGTAGTCGCTCTGTTGATTGAGAAAAAGCTTAGGATTACCAGTATTTGCAGTGTCTGGTCGGAAAAAGTAATTAGTTACTGCACAAGATAATACAGGGACCTGATTTCGTTATTTCATGATTCCTGAGTAATAGATTTGTAGTGATGCATTTGTTATCAGAGACTGAATACAACTCACTTTCTTCGTTGTCATGGTTACGACGTAAGATATGCACTTTGAAGACGTAAGTAATTGCGTGTTTATACCGTCTGCTCCCAAACCACAGGAAGTGGGGTAGCACCAGAGCCTCGATCAGAGATAACCACGTGACCAAGTCTTCTGATAATCCCCTATCTGTTCCGATGCTCATATATAGAAATTCAATGACCTACAGAGAGAAATACACATGTATATACATCAGTATGATAACAAAACTATGTCAAATTTATGTAAATAGTTTGAAAAAATTGTTTGCACAAAGTTCTGAAACATTAAGGAAGCATTTTAATTCAATTTTGCTTTTGATAATGCAACACAACAAAGGTGAATTCCGTCGAGATGTCACACTGATGATGCTATTACGGGATAAGGTCCAATGTCAATAAGCTGTTCAGGGCAACACCTTGATGTTAATGTATGATAGCAGCTAGCATGATATAACGAAATCCAAATATAGCAAAAAAAAATTACAATTGATGAATATTGTCATTTATTGGAATTAAGCTTTCGTTCCATCATCTTAATTTTTTTCTTAAGTACTATAACATTTCCAGAAAATTTTAAAATTTTATCTACTTGGGATTTTTTGGTTACTTGAGAATCTACTGCTCATAAACAAAACATATGGTGATGATTTTCAACATCCTTATTTTTTTTTATCCATATTGCTTTCTAACACCCATTGATTTTGCCCTTATCCACGCTCTCTTAATCGCTTTATGCTATCTGAAACGACATTTGAAATCCTTTGTAGGAATAATACAATTATTAGAGAATATTATACAAATGAATCTAATGGTAGGGGTAAATTTCCTCCCAAAGCCACGCGACTCCCAAAAGAGGTCTGTCTAATTCCGGTCAAAGACTTCGATAGAGTAGAGCCTAATGGCTGGGGAATGTCATTACCCTTTGTAATATCCACAAAATTTGTATCACGACGATAATTGTCACTGATTTTCGGTGGCTTTGACATTAATATCATTATTCGAGAAACACTAGGAGTTAGTTCTGGTGGCCTGGGGATATAGAATGAGGAATAATCATCGAAATATGAATCTCCAATTGCAAATTTATAATTTCTGCTAGGGCATCTTGTGGGGATTTTTTAATTTTACATAGGACGGAAAATACTCCGCAGAGCTGTAATCGGTCCTAAATTCTGAGTGTAACATCTATTTAATTTTATATATTCCAGTAAATGTGGGTGGACTTAGAATGTCCAGTCTAAAAGACAGGACAAGGCATAGATCAAGGGGGATTATGCTTATTTTCTATGCAGATATGTGCATACATTATTAGGTATACTTACAACACATGGTATATGATTAACAATGAGACTAAAACAAGTCACAATCGTCACCAGACGACAGAGATCGGCAGCAAAGTTCAGCTGTCCGTAACGCTCGTGAACCGTGTAATTTTCAGCTAAACCATCATTTTTCCTCGGTAAGTAAAATCTCCCTGCTCCGTATTTGATAAATGCAATCTTCTTTGCATAGTGAATGAGAGCAATAGAATCGAATGAACACACGAGGGAGATACAAGCCATGGTTAAAATGAACACTATCATAAATATAAGGAAACCCAAGCCCAGGTCTGAAAGCAAAAAGAAACAGTCATTTTTGGTTTTAAAATTATCAGGAACCGCTCCAATAACAGGCAACAGTCCGACAACTGCGGCCACGCCCCAGAAAATAGGAACAATAATCTTCACAGTAGTTGTGGTACTGATTTTGATCCGTTTTGTTGAAGTTCTGAGTATTTTTGACCAATGGAAAGATAAAAGTGCCAGATTTGACACCTGGACCATTCGTGTGGTCAATGCAGTCCACACAAAGAAATTACACAAGCTTTCGTTCCATTCCGTGTTGGTAATATTCAACAGCGCGGGAATAAAAGGGATCACCAAGGCGTTAAGCACCATACAGACGAGAATGGAAATGAAAACAACATCGGTCCCATGAAAATGACGGCGATAGTGACACAAAATAGTAACTGAAAATAAATCTGTAAGAACCGCCACAGGTGTGAGTACGATCCATGGCAGCGGACCCGTAGACATATTCCGGGTCAAAAACGCACAGTCCTCACGCGGTAATGGCTTCTAGATCGATCCCGAAGCCATGAACCTCTGATGGAATTAAAGTGTCCGCTAATCGCTGAATAAGTTTCCGTAGAGAGCCCGTAAAGTTAGGGTCTGGTACAAGATAATTAAGCATGCTGCTAATTGTTCATTGGATCCGGGTGTTGTGCTGCTAAGCTGCTTCATCCTTTGGGCCAAGCCATGGGTTCACAGAGTTGTCTTCTTCTGAAAGTAAATAATTAGGTCTTGATTACATGAATGAATACCATGCAATATCGGCAGTATTGATTGATCACGAGAAAAGAATAGCCTCTCCAAAACTTGTTAAGAGTAAAATAAATTGCAGAAATTTACTACAATGAAGGCGTCTCTTCCTCCTTTCTTTTTCATTCTACATATTCTATCGCAACGGAAATAGTGCAACATCCCCCCTTACTTCATTTCTTATACATCTTTGAGACTCTTGTAACGACTCTTTTAAAAAGAAAACGAAAATCGTACAATAGATGTTTTCTACATTGCTTCAGGATCAAGACCTGATCTTATCACACTTCAAGATGGCTGTCTGATTTTTATCTCAACAAGAAGGGCTGTTGCTTTCACACGTTGTTTGCTTATATTACAAGGCATGTAGATATATGGTAAAAAGCTACAAAATGTGAGCCTTAATTGTAAGACATTGGTTCTGATTTAAACAGTTATGTAAAGGCTTGCTGAGGGTTTGAACAGAATCATAAAATGAATGTCCTTGTAAAACGAAATATGCAACCGCACGTCGATCGTACATGTACATGTATATCCTCAAGGTGTACTACTTAACTTATCAAACTAATTGAGGTATATGTATTTCAAAATAAATATAAACTTGTGTAAAATATTTTATTACATGTACATTAAATAGATACAAAAACAAACAAACAAATAACCCAAAACTAAATGTAACTAAAGCCTTTGTGCCATATATGTACATACATGTATCTATCTGTCCATTGTAATTAAAATAAAAATACAATGCTGAAGAACGATTTAAAAAAACACTATAATTCTTTATTATTTTAAATGAAAGACTTCGTTAAAAAATCAAAGTCTATAAAAGAGAAATGCATTGATTTTGAAGCTGATTTCACTGCTTGTAAAGTGCCACGGAACACTTGACAGCTCCATTGGGCGTGTCGAATGGGTTTTCTCTTCCTCCGACAAATCGATCTATTTGTCCTCGAAAGAAAAACTGATAGACAGTGGGCTCGGTATGTAGGATAATCATTATCACATTGTTTTACTCCCACCATTCTTCCCCGACAATATCCAATTACCCTGTCAGATAACTCACTTCCGGTCCAATTATTCGCGGACATGTTTAGAAATATGTAAACACTGGACAGGACAGTGCGTCAGTAGAAATGGAAACTGTCTCAATAAACCAAGTCAAAGGCAGAGTTTGGAGTTATTGCATGTTACAAAAAAAACCCTTAGACTTTATTTTTATTGGCAAAATAGTTAAAAGTTGAGGCTGGATTTCAATTGAATGATATAAAGATTTTATTTTTAAAAATCATGTCAAAAATGCTCCAACTTGTTTTGATTTCGTTTCTTCTTTTTGACGATTGAATAGCTCAAGTTGTTATGTCCTTCCTTTGCAGCAACTGCAGATGAACAAAACGTTGGACGAAGATTTCTGGCGCTTTAGTATTCAAATACGGTTTTCATTTGCTCTCTCGCTAACAAGGCAATAGAACTGATAAATTCATTAGCATTTTGATTTATTTAGTTGTTATAGATGGGTCATTTATTTTCCCGCCCTTTCGATTATGGTGTGATTGCTTCTATATCAGGGTTTTCTCAGTCGACAGTGCGCACTGACAGTTCCCGGATTACAGTGATAAATCTGTTTCACCTCCAGAGAATCCCAGCTTCTGTCTACTCTAATGCAGACGTGACTCTTCTAACTTACTTAGAGAAAGAGAGAAACTCGGTGCCATCCAAGTAATTGGATGATGTTATTTAGAGAAAAGCATACTGACAAATTTGCAGGGGGCTTACATTAAATTCTCCCTGAATATTGTACAGAATGCAGTTTATTGAGCAGTAGGGTACTTGATAAAACAATCTGAAACCACATACATGTGAAAATCTGTTGATGCAAATTCGAAGTTGCAAGCTGTGATCATATGATCAGATGCTCATGAAACTACACTGGAATAGATTTTCTGTAAAATACCTAAAGTTCTATTATAATGTGCAATATATATACATGTATAGCTGTTTAATGCCAAAAAGAAGTCAAGGTTATAACTATATGAGAAAAAAAAAACCCTCTATATTCAAACGACCTAAAGATGCTTCAAAAATGATTGTCTTAAGCAGCACAAGATCACAAGAGATGTGATAGATTTAGCCAGACACTATTTGATTAAGGATACCAACAAAAATTTCAAAAATGTTTTCACAGTAAACTTTTGGGACGTAAAACACCCAAATGCCCTATCTACTAATAAGGTTTGATGGTCGTAGTAAGTCTCAGCTTGCAGGATAGATTACTAAATTCTTAGTCATAAATATGCATCAAATGACAAAGTTTGACGTGTGAAGGACATAGATCTAATGTGAACATCAATAGTTTAGAGATAAAAAGACAGGCAGATGGTCGGGTAGACTATATAATATGGCCTGACAAAAAGACATCGTACACGTAATGGGAGTATGTGACTGTGTACAGTTCATATAATCGACGAGTCAAAAATGAAACGATTATTAAATTTTAATTGTTTAGGAAAATTATTACAATTGAAGCTAATTTTTTACGCTTTTATATAATGAAAGAGAATATCAATAAGATTCTGTCTACTCAAAAAAAAGGGGGGACAACTATTAACCATGCAACCAAATCTCGATGATTGTAATCGTATGAAATAATCTCTACCAAAATATGTTCAACCTTTTGAATGGCGCGTTATGTTTACCTGAAGTATCAACATTACAATTTATGATTGATAAGTCTGGTGTGTGCTTAATTCATTATTTACAGATGTATTGTATGAGGAGGAAGTCACGCCAAACTATAGGTGTGTTTCGTTCATTTACGTTATTGAAAAACAAAACCTGGTTACAACACTGAAGCTGCATAATAGGAACGGAAATTATTATAAATTATATTTCCTCGACATAATGACATAGGATTTCACTTTTAAGCATTCTTAACAAAACCAGCTGCAGATAAGCCTATCAGAATTCAGTCTCTACGTAATCGTGCATGTGGATGCAGGCTTGTAGCTCACCTGTACAGTCAGGGATATTATCATATGATACTTTTTTAAATAATATAATATGCAATATAGGTGAATCTACATGGAATAAAAGATCCTTTCCTGGATGTATACCCAAGTCTTCAGTACAATTGCCATCCATGATATTGATATTTTTGGTAATTAATTAGCAGGATATACGTGTATAGATAGAGTAAATAACCATACAATCAAAGTATGATAACAAAAGTATTGCTCTAGACAGGAAATTACATTTAACATAAATAATGGATACCAAAAGTTATTGAAGTGTAAAAAAGAAATATTTCATACCAGCTATATCGATAATATTCTGCAGTATGCCCGTTTTATGGACTGAGTTAGGGGAAACAGGACGTAAACAGGCAATATACTGGATTTTCAATTTCATAGTCATGAACAGTAGCTTAATAAAAACTGTCAAGCGATGTAATTTTGTTCACGAAACTGGAGTAGAAAATCGAAGCATGTTGATCGATTTGTTAATTTCTTCCAATAAAAACGAGTCTTATTTTTTTTTTCATTCGAAGATTTCATTTTTGTTCCCTTGTTTGTTTTCATTTTTATAATTTATTTATTTATTTTTGTTTGGGTTTGATTTCTTTTTTCCGGCAGTATCGCAAACTTGCCGATAATACCTTGTATAATAGATATAACTACATTTTTCACCATTATTTCCTCGATTTTCTTTGGATTAATGTGATTTTGCAAAAAAAAATTATTATATGAAATTTAAAAAATTTAAAATTTCTTAAAATCATTACTCATTTTCTTTTTTAGAGAGGAGTGAAGTTTTGGGGTTCGGGTCGAAAATATGAGTTTTCAGATTTTTGTGAGTTTGTATGAACACAATCATTAGCAGTTATTGGTTCTAAACTAGGTTGAAATATTTCTCTTGTCCATTTCCCAATGTATTAATCCCCAACCTTAAATCAAAGTACACGTATGTTTCAACTGGTCTATACTTAAGTAAACCCATGTTAAACAAAACAACATTACGGACCGACAGACTACAGACAAAATGCAATCAGAACTTTCAGCTCAGGTCCGTCAAAAAAAGGGGGAGGGACAAGTAAGAAATATGATTTTCTTTTCGAGTCTTGTTAACAAAATCGTGCGCGAGAGATTTGTAAATGTAACAACTTACATTGTGACAAACATCAACAGAAATAATTCTCTGTTATATAGATATCCTATAACGAACGAAATATTGCGGGTTTACAAGCATTTAACACCATTAATGTACGGTCTACATGTTTTATTAGCTTAAATACGTGCGAGGGACGAAATTAATTTGAATAAAAAACTAAAGGAAAAGCCTCGGGGACACTTATAGATATTTCACAAGCAGATGTGACCATGATTCAGCACAGGATAAAAACTTGATAAATAAGCTTCCTTTTAATATTTTAATGATTCATGTTTTGCGATTTATAAAAAATAATTGATTATTGTCATAAAATAAACCATATATACCTTTACACTATTGATTGCATTCTTCTTTTTTTTTAAACAAGGCAAAAATGAAATGCCGGTATGCAATACACATATTATAGGTAAGAAGGTGAATTGTAGCTACTTTGGCTATGTCATTGAACCACTTGATGGACTTTAACGGACAAACCAACATGAATTATTTAATCCTAATCGATACATAACAATGAATATGTAAAGCTTTTACGGGATTATCATTGCTACAAGTGGCGTGTTTGTTATATATTTACCTAATGTCAGAGCATGTTCATCCATAGATAATAGCCTTATATCTAACAACAGTGGATGGGAGTAAATCGTGTTACCTTAGAAATCAATGATCACAACAGGTGAATCCCAGGTAAATTCAAGTTGCCATGGAAATTTGATCAAATTTTTTTCTACAATCAGAAAATTATATTTCGTGCAGGAAATATTTAGTGTTGGCATGAGCGTATCAAAATGATCCTTTCGATTCAATAGGAACAAAATCATAACAATACATGAACAAAGAATAAGGAAACGAGAGAGAGAGAGAGAGAGAGAGAGAGAGAGAGAGAGAGAGAGAGAGAGAGAGAGAGAGAGAGATAGTACCTGTCTGAGTTGTGATTATGAACATCCTTGAATTTACTTATTATACAAAGTTCTATCATTTCTTTGTTACTGAAGTCCCCCGTCCTAGGAGCAGGTGTCTTCTAACGTATCGTCAAACACTGGATAACTCACAATGGCTTATTCAGTTTTATCGCAATAATACTCGCTTTTGTACGATCAAAATCAAAGATTATCCAAGCATTTCGACACCGTGCCCTGGGAACGGGTCACTTCTGTTCTCCTATGTGGGCGAGTGAGGTCTTAATTAGCTTACCTGTGTAAGGTAACACATGGACCCAGCCATAGTTCAGGGTGTTGTTCTCTCTCTCTCTACAGAGATGCGCATGTCATTTTTTCTTCGACATCGATTTCTGACAAACACTGCAACACGTGTTTAACAATGAAAACGGAACATACGTTTTCTTCTCTGAAAGGGTTATCGATGAAGAAAAAAATCTCCTTGAACAAAATAAAGATTCCAATTACTGCACTTTGTCAAACTAAATTTATTGATCCTTCGTCACACTTGATCTGATGGGAGAACGCAATCCATCAACAAAATTAAAGGGATAATATAAATATTCATTAAATTCTGGATTTAAATCAAGGATTTGGCGAGTCCTTTGTGGCTTAAAAACACTGTACCTAAAGAAAAAAAACTACCAAAAACAAATTGATTTTGTGTGTATACTCGTACTTTTATTCCTCATTATTTCGTGTTCAATCGGATAATTTGAAAACTTTCGGTATATAGATGAAGAAATGCGATAAAAAAGCGGGACGTGGTTTTTTCTCTATTATTAACCGACAAGCAACCATTAGGCATTGTTGTACACATAGTTTAAAAGAAATGTGCAATAGAATATCAGAGCAAAACGTAAAAGCAATTTAATTTTATGATATTTGATCCTGATAATCAAATCTAATGACGGTCCCTCGCCCAAGCCGACAAGTCTTGTATGTTGACTTTTAACTACTGTATTAAACTTTCAATGTTTTTTTTTTTTTAATTGCGCATGCATTCCATGATGCGTATTAATAACTGTTATCGTTAGGAAAACAATTTAAGTACAGAAGACTGTATGCAACCACTTTAACAATTAAACAACTACTATCCTGAGATATTCAAGAGTGAAGGCGTGTATCGAAAAAAAAGTTTCTCAGACGGAGGAATCCATCTTTGAAAGCTGTCTTTTCGGAATGCCATTCCAAGTTTTTTCTGTTTAGCAAAACATACACACCTATTCGCAAAAAACACACAATCCAAAATATAAAACACAAACTTTAAAGTCATGAAAATGATGTCATTCAAAGAATATACTTTTTTCTCGTAGAAAGATCTATTCTTTAGTTAAATGAAAGTATTAACAACTTAAGGATATCAGCCAAGAAGGATAACTCCAAAAATTAATATTTAATTCAAAAAGCGTCAATTTAAGGCTTGAAAATGAAATCTTTGCATGCAACAATTTTTATTTTATTCATCTTTATATTACTCAAGGTTTATTGAAGTCTTAGAAAAGGTTTTATAAAAAGTTGACATTTGTACCTCATACAAGGAAAAAAATAAATGCATTTTTAGAGAAGTAAGATTTTCTTGAATCGAGCCTTAGATACCAATACTTATCAGTATACACTCAAATAAAGTTACTCGAGTTTGAATACTTAGTATTCTTGTTTTCGTATCACGGTATTTTTTTTCTCTTATATGCCCACGTTCTTTGGTGACCTGGATGCGTTTCTACAATGCCCATGGGCTACAAAGCTCACCCACGGCACTATTGCGCTCCTGTTCTTTTCTCCTCTAAATTCCTACATGTATGTAAATGTTCTCATATTGCAGTCTCACCCTACTCTCAGGTGCCATGATTTGAATTACACGTATGTGAGGATGCTTAAATAAATGCATTATTGTTCATACATGTAGGATGATTTTTACTAAACATTTTCAAGTAAAACTTTTTCATTACTTCAACTTATCCAAGGGGTCATGGTTTGAGCAAAGTTGTATCTACACTGAAGATGCTTCTTTATAAAGCATTATCCATGGCTGTTCTTGAGATAAAGGTAGTGTAGATTGGCTTTCATCAAATAATTACTTCCTAGAGGTAGGGTGGGGTCACAATAGTGAATCAAAGTTTTACATAGGATTTTACTGAAAAAGTTGTTCAAGTTCATTTTCCCAAGAACAGCAAAGCAATGAGAAATCATTTTTTTTTAAAATATGAAAGCATCCTCAGTTGAAGCGAGTTCAAATTTGTCGAAATCTTGATAAAAACGAACAAACTATTGTAATATTGACACAGTTAGTATTTATTTAACATCATGTTGAATTTGTCCCCATGTTCCCCCTTTTAATGATGTTTCCTCCACTTCAGGTAACAGACTATTTTCTCTGACACAGACTCACACACTGACAATGACATACATGTATATTAAATCTCTCTCAAAGCTCTATCGACTGGAAACTTATGCAGCAATTGTTCAATTTTGAGCATTAAATTCAAATTTTTATAATGTGATTACTAATGGAATTTTAACAAACTGCAATGGATCTTCTTGAGGTATACAGAGCATAAGTGATTCATTAAGTTACTTAAAACAGTTGAGCCTAGTTAATCCAGATGCCTGTTTCCCAAGGAAATTTCCCAGTTTAATAAAAATATCCACATAACTGAAATAGTCTTTTATTATACACAGTAATAATTATTAATACTGTTCCTAGAAGAATTCATTCCTAAATTTTGGATCAATGGTGTCTGGATTAACATGACTCCACTGTACTACAATGTAAAAGTATGTGGTCAATTTTCCAAAGCTAGATATGAAAAACGTTATACATGTACACTGTAGCATTGGAATTGAGATGTATTATAAACTTAAGATCAAAAATGCACATCACTGCATGTGCTTTTTTTAATATTTACAGCTTGTATATGATAATAATAATAAAGATTTATTTACAAAATAATAAAAGAAATCCATCTTAATGAAGATGGTTCTGAACACTAACTTTTGTGAAATTGTGAGGTAAATAACAATATATTACAAATACAAATTAAATATGGATCACTGTTTGACAGTGGAAAGAACACTCATGTTAGAACTTCACACCCTAACATGAGTTTATAATAAATTTGGCACCATCACAAAAATTAATGTGTCAGAGAGAACAGTATAACATTACAAAAGACACATTGGTACAAAATCAAAATAAGTTATTTCTTAAATAATTAAAGCACCTTTTTTTCTTATGGAAAAATCCACATTGGAAAAATTTGTGAACAATTTTAATAAAACATGCACAAAAAGCATAATTTCATTAAACTTATTTTGAGTTGACCATCAAATCACATGTTGTAGAATTCTAAAACATAAGTTTTATCACCTTCAACAGCAAAATGTAATATCACAATTGATTTTGAAGCTTCAAATAAGTCTAAACTACCATATTTCTATTCACAAACAGAGTACATTTTCTTTAGGACTTAAGTACAGTGTACTTCTAAATATCTAGAAATATGTTCTTCTTATTTGAAACTCCAAATGTATTTCAACATACACATTAATACATGTATACTGACAAAAAGTAACATGTTGTAAAGCAACTCCAGAAAAAATGCATGGATTGCCTATTTCTTTTTCTTATAATCAGGCATCAATCAAAAAGTTCAGGTATTACAATGAGGTTGACAACAATTTTCTCATTATCCAATTCTTCTGCATTTCTGTTTCTCACTTGAAAATTATAATTAAATCCTTGTTTGTGGTACTTGCACCAATACATTTCTCCAAATGAATGTTCTTGTGACGTAGATCTTGTGAAATACCAAATTTCAAGCAATGATATTTCCAGATTGTTTATCACTGACAGATTTATAAAACAGATATCATTTAAAGTTGAGTATTAACTGTCAAATGTAAACAAATCTAAATATGAAAGACAGGTAGGATTTGTCTGCTTTACATCTATCTTCTCGTTCTCCATATCATTTTCCCGATCTATCATCTCGTCTTCATATCATTTTCCCGATCTATCTTCTCATTCTCCGTATCGGTTTCCTTCTTCCTGATCTATCCTTCTCGTGTGGGTTTCCTGATTGGACGAGGCTTGGCCTGATTTCCAGATCCCACACTGAATGAAGGGGTTCCAAAGTTAGGCTGTGGGATGGCCCCTCCACTTGGGGTTCCAAATGAGGAATTACCTCCCCCTGCTGAAAACACAAGATTAAAAAATTTATATCGTTGACACTCAGAATTATTAAATGTTAACTAGTATCAAAAGCACATCAAATGTGTGTTTGGATAAATTATAATACATTTTTCAATTTCTGGTATTATCTGGTAAACATATCATTCTGTATGGTTTCATTTCCAGAAATTCCCCAGTGGGGAAACCCTAAACATAAAAATGCTTTTTAATTCATTTTACATCATTTTCCGTATCTATTTGAATGGGGATGGGTGTGTGTGTGTGTGTGTGTGTTAGACTAAGTACATACCTCCAAAGTTAAATGCTCCTGGACCTAATGATTGAGAAAAGTCAAATCCTTTGCTTGGATTTGCAGGAGTGGACTGGTTTGGAGTAGCACTGTTATTTTGAGGTGTTCCAAAATTAAAAGTTGAAGATCCTGCTGAACTTTGTGAGTTTTTCAATGGTGTTGCCATGCCAAAGTTAAACCCTGTGCCACTACCATTCATATTAGAAGCTCCAAAGTTTGGTGAACTGGCAGATTTGGTGAATCCTGGGGCACCTGTTGACTGCCCAAAAGCAGGAGGATTTTGAGGCTGTCCAAAAGCAGGGCCTGGTTGCTGTCCAAAACTTGGCTGCTGCTGTCCAAATGTAGTCTGTTGGGTGGAAGGTGTCTGTCCAAATGCAAAAGATGACTGCGGAGCTGTTTGCTGTCCAAACCCTGACCCAGACTGAGTGTTTGGATTCTGCTGTCCAAAGCTGAAGGATGGCTGAGTGGATGACTGTCCAAAACCAGGATTACTTGCACTTTGTCCAAAACCAGAGGTTCCCTGTGCAGCTTGCCCAAATCCAGAGGTTGTTTGAGATCCTGCTGGTTGTCCAAACACTGCTTGTGTGTTGCTGGATTGTCCAAAAGTACTGTTCGAAGTATTGCTTCCAAATGCTGGAGGCTGGGATTGAGAAGTCTGACCAGGTGGCTGAAATTGTCCAAAAACAGAACTAGACTGGGGAGCAGATGGCTGCCCAAATACACTGCTGGAAGCTGTGGTGGTCTGTCCAAATGCAAATGTTGAACTTGATTGAGACCCAGCTGGCTGTTGTCCAAATGAGCTGGATGAAGTTGTCGAGTTCTGAGTAACGGCTCCAAAGGCAAAGGTTGGCTTTGGTAGGTCTGATCTTGATGTATTAGTAGCACCAAATAGCCCTGCTGCTGTAGTAGATGTATTACTTTTGCCAAAATTAAAACCTCCAGCTGTAGAATTTGAACCACCTCCAAAGTTAAATCCACCACTTGCTGAGGAAGTTGTAGATGAAACATTTTGTCCTCCAAATGAAAACACCCCTGCAGCTATAGATGTTGAAGGTGTGGGAGCTTGATTCTGAGTCCCAAAGTTAAAACCTCCTGTAGCAGTAGGTACACTTGTAGGATTGGCTGTTACTGTACCAAAATTAAAACCTCCAGTAGCAGATGTAGTAGAAGCTCCAGCATTAACACCCACTGATGGAGCAGAATTACCTCCAAAGACAAATGTGCCTGAGGTTGTGGTAGCAGCAACAGTCCCCTTCCCTGCTTCAAAATTAAAGGCACCTAGAGGATTTGCTTGGGTAGCAGGTGTAGCTTTGAAATTAAACCCTCCGGGGGCAGATGCAGTCACTGTATTGGTAGCTGCTGGACTATTAAAAGAAACTCCTCCAGCAGTTGTCGCTGTTGATAGGGCCATAGTCTGACTTCCAAAGCTAAAACCATTTGACAATGAAGAAGCAGTAGTAGTGGTTCCACCAAAAGTAAAACCTCCTGTTGTTGATGCGGTTGTTGTTACACTGCTTACTGGTGATACTACACTTGAATTTTGACCTCCAAAGCTAAATCCTCCAACACTTGATGTAGTGGTCGGTGTAACTGTTGCTGAAGCACCGGAACTTTGGGTTCCAAAGCTAAATCCTGATGGTGCAACCATGGTGGGCAATGCAGATACAGCACTGGTAGTTGCTAAAACCTTCTCACCAGTTTTAAAAGTTCCCGGACCACTGGATGATGTCACAAGTGCATTTGTCTGTCCACCAAATACAGGAGGCAGAGCTGTCGTGGTAGAGCTTGGTCCACTAGAGAGTATTCCTGATATATTGGTTGAAGCTGGAATAGAGGTTGGGGAGACAGCTGCTGTGGCTAGTGATTGTCCAAACTGAAAACCTGCAATATAAATATTCAACCGTTTTACCACTCAACAATAAAGACTAATTTTTTTCTTAGTTTGCCAGAGAATCACAATTTTTTTTACAACTTTAAAAGTATTACCTGTCACAGAGCTAGTTTTTGTTGTGGATGAAGCTGCTGTTGGTAAACTGAAGGGAGCAGCACTGGCTATAGCTCCTGAGGCACTAGTAACTGTGGTTGTACTACTAGACAGACTGGCCATGGCACTAGACTTGTCAACTCCACCAACTCCACTTGGAGAACCACCAAATGAGAATCCAGTTGTCACCAAAGGTTTGCTGGCTGGTGAGACAGAGCTAGAAGATGTGGTGGTATTAACAGAGAACAGAGTTGGAGAGGCTTTAGATGAAGCTGTTGTACTAGAAACTGGTAAAGAGCTGGTCACAGAAATAGGTGTGGTGGATCCCAGAGTTACAGGGGTGGAGATGTTAACCAATGGAGAAATAGTTGACGTTAAGGCTGGAGCTGCAGCTGTTGAGACATTACTGGAGCTAGTAGTCTCTATAAATGATAAAATTAAAAGAAAAACCCAAGTTAAAGAAAATTGTGAAAAATATAAAACGTATTATGCAGCATCACAACAAAATCAAATGATTTTTTTGTGGGAACTGTTTATCACCTGCTGCCGTAACTTCTTTCTCGGGTTCTCCTATCTCGGCCATCATCTCCTGTACTCTCTTTTCCTCTTCTTCTCTGTCCTTGTCATAATCTTCTATCTTAGCTATTACATTAGCTTGTGGAACCTGTTAGTAAGTCAATTTTATTGTAAACTGGAATTTTGTTCATTACAGTCAACATAAGCTCTATAGAGCTCTTAAACTGACTGTTAAGTCTAACTCAAATAGCAATCAATAATTACATTTATACTGATAAAATTATTTTGATCTGAATTTATGTTTAGGTTTAATACATGCTCCATGACATAACACTTGTATTTAGAGACACATCAGTGGGTGATGTTTGAGTGTTACATGCATATGATGCAGTAGCTGCAATAATGTAGCCCTCTCCGATTTATTTTATCTGATGTTTTCTGGAGAGGGCTACAATTCCACAGCATCTCTGTAATGGTGCAAAAATATTTTTTTAAATACTGACAACTGCAGATAGAAAAAGTAGTTTTTACATTCAACTTACTTCTAATAAGACGAGATTTTTATTCACTGTCGACAACATAGCCCGTTAAACGCGAAAACCATGTAAAATAAATCTTGTGTTGATCTTCCACAGCCATGACAGTTCAACGCGTGACGTACCGAGACTTGCGCTTGAAATTTAGAATAACTAAATAAAGCAGGTGTCGGTGTTTATAAAAAAAATGTGATGAATAGTATCACTAAACATCGATAAATAAAATCATACCATGTGTCATTTTATCGTAAAAAGCTCTATTTAGGCTTAAAATAAGGTTATTCCAAAGAAATCCGCTCCCTATAGATCTTTAATCTCATTGGCTGTCCCAAAATAAAATCTGTCAAGGTCAGTAAACATGGCGGATAAAGAAGAAGGTATGGTTTCCATACAAATTTTGCCCTGTGATTTTCTAAAAAATGAAACTGGTGTAAAAGTTGAAAACTCATGCTTTTTAAATAATTGAAATCAATGCAGAAAAATCAGACAGGTCATTTTTCTCACATGTGGTTTTAAATGCTAATTATGACGTCATAAAGATGTGCATTTTCCCGTATTTTCTTAAAAAGTTGCAGAAGACACCAATTTTCAATGGAATTTTCTTTCAGATAACATGGTCCACAGGCATCGTCCACAAAGATCTTGAGATATGTGATTTGTTATTGAATTTTGCACAAAATATCAAAAAATTAACGTGGGCGATGGCTGTGGACACTGTTTTCTAAAGGAAAATCACCCTTGAAATGTTCAATTTTGAGGCTTTTTCTGTTGAAAATAGATAAATGCTTCACATTAATGACGTCATATTTGCAGAATGGTAAACCTTCATGCCATATTTTTTCCTGATTTATGAGAGTCATTTATTTAACTAATATTTAAGCCAGTTTCAAAACTTTTTGATGTCATTACATTTTTAGGGCGCAATAAAGCTAAAACCAAACCTTCTTCTTTAAGCTGTGATGTTGACATACACGAAAAATAACTGATATATGGATTGTTCTGTATATTTTTGGACTGATTTATGTCTTGGATAACTACATTTTTGGAGTCAAGGTAAGAAATGTTAATAAAATAGCCATTTGCTGACAATTTGAGCCGAAATCCGTACGGGAGCGAATGGTTTCCGCAGCTGCACCATTACGGAGATCCTAAGGAGTTGTAGCCCTCTCCCAGAAAAAAAAAAAAAAAAAAAAAAGGAGAGGGCTACATTATTGAAGCTAAAGATGCAGAGCCACAGGAAGTTATAAATGCAGATTTACTTACATTTTCATATGTTTTATTTAGGCCTGCATATAGGGACATGTCTCTTTTTCTGGCCGATACTTTGTCTGATAAAGCTACTCGTTTGGGTGTTCTAACAGACTTGTGTGTCTACAAGAAACAGAGAAAAATAACTATAAGATTTAAAGCATTCTCTCAATCAAGTGAGCAATGGGTTATGATAAATATCGTGAAATTCACAAAAACATTAATTTCAACAATTGTTGTTTGTTTTTTTGTTGGTAAATACCCCCGATTGTCCAAGAAACTCTGCAACTGATGTTTCCAAATCTGACAGCTGACTCTTTGAAGCATCTTCTGTCTTCTGAGATTTTGTGACAGGTGTATCTTTGTTTTCTGGCAACAGGACAGTTTCCATACTGTAAAACAAATACTAATCAGGTAAACAATCATCTACACAGAATTTTAAAATTAGTTCATCTTGTCATTGTATATAAACTTGAACTAGACTAATAACTTTTGTACTAGGCCAGCAAAATCTAACTAAATATTTCAAAACAGACTATAATCTGAATGCCGAATATTATTGTAAATTCGCAGCCTCGGTTGACGATGGTTTTTTGGGGTTAAAATTTTTGTTACACTCAACTACATGCAATCTTTATTACAGTGAACCTTGCGCACATAAATTCTGCGAGTCAACATTTTTTGAACTATCACTTGTCATCAAGCAATTTTGACTGTTGCTATGCTGGAAGGCGTGGCTTCATTATTTAGCGGGTAATTGTGTTTTTTAACAAATGTTTCTCGACGAATCAGATTAAACCCATTTACATGAAAGTATAATATCATAAAATACGTTTTTTTTTTTTTCTTTTGTAAAGTGTGTGTTTTTACAAAGGTTTCAAAATAAAGGCAAGTGAATGAAGTAGATGTAGATAATTGTAAATTGAAGCTTAATTTAACAAGCTCAAACACAATTGATGCCTAACAATTAGGGATGGCAATTTGTAACTGGTTAATCGATTAATCCATCAGAACAATGCTAATTGGTTAGAGAATCTGTAATCGGTTAGTCTACAAAATAAAATATATGTAAATTTGAGCGCAGTTTCCTTAAAATCCCCCCTTTTTATTTTTTAAAGAAAGGAAAGCAATGCATAGATTTTTATTTAGTGTTTTTACACATCTTATAAGAATATTTGGATGTAATTATAGTTCTCCAGACTGAGATCGCAGGGTAATTGGTCAATACGTAAAGTGTTAATTACTGTATTTATAACATCATGCCATTACCCAAATAGTCCTGTGTTTTTTTTTAATGTTATTAAAACCGCTAAGCACTTTTACTTATAGTATGTCTATCTTTTGCCATTATCTATTAAATTATTTTATTATGAAGAACCTTGTAAATTGTAAATAAAGTGCGAGTTCAGACATAGACTAGTTCTGATTATGGTGACAATACAGAATTAACTTCTTTATCATCTGTGTTGGAAATTTATCCCTGTCTGATTCCTCAAGCAAGATTCAAGGTTTTCTTAATTTTTCTTGTCTATTGAAATTGAAATAAAATATGTATACTCTTATGTTCATAAAATTCCCCAATCAAAATAATAAACAGAACGTAACTTCTAAATGTCTTTTTTAGCCTTTTTGTGAATATGAAAAGAAAATGCCAAATGTATATCTTGATACGACTAACCAGTTAATCGGTTGAAAGATTTTGCGCTTAACCGATTCGCAATTCTGCAATCAATTGCCATCCCTATTAGCAATTTAACATGTTCACATGCTATTTCCTTGTAGCTCAGAAGATTAAGCACAAAACAGTCAAAACACATGCTACGTATCAGGTGATGTGATGAGATTATTCATAGTTTAGGCCATAATGAAAATATTCCTAGATTCACATCCCCGCCCGCCCCGATTTTATACCCCTGCCTCAATTTTTTTTTATTTCTGTTTTTCCTCGTCTTAATTCTGATTGGGATCGGTATTCATCTACCATTCTACTTTTGTTTTAAATCCCGCGAAAGTTGACATGATTTTGACAGCTGAAAAGATGGGAATTGCTGTAATACATGCGTATATATTTTAAACAAGGGTCATTGAAAAAGATTGGTGATGATGTGAAGTACGAGATAATTGAACCTTTAGGCCATAATAAATAAATTGCTAGATTCTCATCCGAATTTTTTTAAAAATCGAAGCGGGCGGGCGGCTTTTATTTTATATTTTTTACAGCAGATTTTTTATCGACCTGGTCAATCGGTGTAATTTTATCTACAATACCCGAATAAAAGTCACAGTAAAAGATCAATTATCTCTTACTTCACATCATCACCAATCTTTTTCAACCAAAAGTAGAATGGTAGATGAATACCGATCCCGATCAGAATTAAGACGAAGAAAAACAGAAATAAAACCAGAAGTCTCTGTCGAGACTGAAGCTCTACTGGTTTGAACTTCCTATTTTTAGTAACCACGGCAACACCGTTCATCGAAATCAAAAACCGATGCACAGAATTATGTATCTTAGTGTATTCTACTTGTGTGCCAAGTTATACTGAAATCAGACCAAAACTGTAGGAGGAGTAGCATTTTGAAACAATTTTACAGAAATTTCTATTTTTAGTAACCACGGCAACACCGTTCATCGAAATCAAAAACCAATAGACTGAATTATGTAACTTAGTGTATTCTACTTGTGTTCCAAGTTATACTGAAATCAGACCAAAACTGTAGGAGGAGTAGCATTTTGAAACAATTTCATAGAAATTTCTATTTTTAGTAACCAAGGCAACACCGTTCATTGAAATCAAAAACCGATACACAGAATTATGTATCTTAGTGTATTCTACTTGTTTGCCAACTTATACTGAAATCAGATCAAAACTGTAGGAGGAGTAGCATTTTGAAAGAATTTCACAGAAATTTCTATTTTTAGTAACCATGGCAACACCGTTCATCGATATCAAAAACTGATATACAGAATTATGTATCTTAATGTAGTCTACTTGTGTGCCAAGTTATACTGAAATCAGACCAAAACTGTAGGAGGAGTAGCATTTTGAAAGAATTTCACAGAAATTTCTATTTTTAGTAACCACGGCAACACCGTTCATCGAAATCAAAAACCGATACACAGAATTATGTATCTTAGTGTAGTTTACTTGTGTGCCAAGTTATATTGAAATTAGACCAAAACTGTAGGAGGAGTAGCATTTTGAAAAATTGTTTACAGACAGACGGACAGCTAGACAGACAGACGGACAGACGGACGGACGCATTACTATCGCATAAGCTCTTCTGGTCTCTGACCAGTAGAGCTAAAAAATCGAGGCGGGGGTAAAAAATTGGGGCAGGCGTGGATGAGAATCTAGGAATATTTTTATTATGGCCTTATTATGACTTTTATTTGGTTATTGTAGATAAAATTACACCGATTGACCAGGTCAATAAAAAATCTGCAAATTTGAAAAAATAAAAAATATAAAATAAAAGCCGCCCACCCGCCTCGATTTTTAAAAAAATTCGGATGAGAATCTAGCAATTTATTTATTATGGCCTTAATACCTGAAGTTGAAAAACATTTGTGAATTCCACAAGTCTGAATACTAGCTTACAATACAGGGAAAACATGTTAAAAGGAACACTTTCCCCTTTTCAAACCATAAATGCATGTTTGTCTGTTTATCTCCTTCTAATATTTTATATAAACTAGAACTGTCCAATAGGGACAAATACCCCCGTTGGATTTTTCAGAGAAGGTGCCAATTCACAAATACTTTAAAGATCTAGAGGTGTTCACATTTTTCTTACAAAAATTTGCAGTGAAAAATATAATTGCTCTCTTAATGAATGAAACAAAGGTGCAACCAAATAAAACATCAATACTAATACATTGTAATTCCATTGTAACATATTGGAATTATATGTCATGACACTCTTCAAACTGATTGTTGAAAAAAAAAAACATACAAAATCAAATTAATCTTGATAACTTTATATTAAATTCATTTTGAAAATAAAGAGCTGGTCATCCAGTAATGAAGTGCTTTGACCGACAATAAATTACAATTAAGAGAATTAGAGAAGAGAGATCTTTAATTCTTGTGCCAGCAGCCAAATTCCCAGAAGATAACACATGCTTGAAAAGAGATGTCTTAACACCTTCCTACACCAAACTCATTAATTTATCTTTAAATGGATCCATGTCCAGTCATTATTCCTAAGAGACAAATGAACTGACATTATCTTCTGTGCAATGTAAAAACTGTTTTTAACACTTGATGATGTGTCTTTCTTTTTTTTTAGTTTTAATGAGTAGTTTTAAGCTGTAGTTCACATTTTTGTACAGATATTCTAGATTCTATGTCTCAAACCTTACACATGATCCCAAAATGAACATGTCAATTAAATTTTTAAAAAACCCTTAAAATGCAGAAAAATGAACAAATAAAGTTGAAAATTCCAGGTGCACACCTTCAGATGGTCAATAATAAGTGTACAAATTTTCAGAAAAATACTTGCAATAGTTTCTGAGAAATGATCTGTACAAGACCACAAAATAACAAGAGGCCCACAGGCCTTATAGGTCACCTGAGCATTATGCAACAACTTTCCAGTTACAGTGTATTGAATTTGATTCATGTTTTAAGCCAGATGCTATATGGCATTCACAATTTTGAAAAGGCACCATTGATCATCATAACAATAAATAAACTTAGCAGTTGCTTAGCTTGGTTACTGAATACCCATACGCAGGGTAGGGGAACAAAAATGCACTCCAACTAATCAGTAATATTCATCAATAATCAGTAGTGCCCCTAACACTCTGACATAAACCCCTGACCCTAGGTTGCACAAATTTTTAAAAGGCACCCTTAAAATTGCCTATCAAAAAGTAAATAAATGTTTTATAAATACAAAGGACCAGATTTCAAACAATTAATTCATTTTCAGTATATAAGTAGAGCCCCCCCCCCCCCCTTGACCCTGGGGCCTTGAAATTCACAATTCTGCAAGATTAGGGCCCTGCTCATCATAACTATATAGGTAGTTCATCTGCTTCATACCCAGAGACAGAGAAGAAAATTTTCAAAGATTTAATGTATTTTCACTATATAATCAATAGAGCCCCACCCTAACACCAGAACCCCAGACCCTGGGGCAATGAAATTCATAATTTTAGAAGAGGCATTCTTGCTCATCATAACTATGCACTCACTTAGTTTATTTAGTACCTAGGAGCAGAGAAGAAGATTTTCAAAGAATTCATGTATTTTCACTTTATAATCAATAGAGCCCCCCCCCCCCCCCCACCAGAACCATTGACCCTGGGGCCATAAAATTCACAATGTTGGTAGAGGCACTCTTGCTCATCATAACTATGCACGTAGTTAGTCTATTTAAT